CACACACACACACACACACACACACACAACACACACACACACACACACACACACACACACACACACACACACACACACACACACACACACACACACACACTTATCACTTGGCAAGCAGAGGAGTGTATGAGTGCTTGTTCATACATAACCAGAAGTATTATCTGTGCATGGGCTTGCATTTACGCTAGTGTGTGTGACTGTGTGTGTGTATGAGTGAGTGTAGACTAATGCCTCTGCGTGCATTCTTTGTAGCTTGTGTTTGTGAGTGTGTGTGGACATGCATTCACCCTGGTTTAATTATGCAAATTGAAATTCTCATTGCTCTCACTGGCTTTAGCGTTGAGCCTGGCACTTCGCTTTTATGAGTGTCTTCCCACCCGTGGCTATTGGTGTGTGTATGTGCGTGTGTGATTATCCAATAGTACCGTCACATCAGCAAGCTAAATTATGTGACAGAGCAAACAAACAGTGTTTGGTCCAGCGGGGCATTGGGACATCCAAAAAGTGACAGGAAGGCACAGCGTCACAACCAAAGTACCCTGCTGTAAATTTAAATGGGTCTGCTTGTGTGTTTGTGTGTAATGTTGTTGGAAGTGTGTGTGTAAATTGATATTTCTATCTATTCTGTTCTTTATTCCTTGCCTTTTATGCATACATACCAGTATTTCCGGAGGATTGGCAACTCATCTTTATCGTGTCAGAGCTTATAGTCAAGAATTTTTAACAGGCAACCATAAAAGGCTTCTCAACGCAAGTACATCAGGAATGATTTATAATATTTTACGATGATTTAATGCACAGACCAAGTTTTCTTGCTCTACTCTATTTCTGCTGGTGTACGGAAAACATACACTTCACCACAAAATAATTGTATGCATTAATGATGATTTGGGGCGATACAAGGAGTAGAAGAGAGAGGAGGATGAGAGAAAACAGTTGGAAAAATAGGAAAGAGATGGATGTGGTGGGACATTTGAACATGACAATTCAAATCATAGGTCATAACAATTATAGAGCCACTCAAGCAAATGCACTTCTATCTAATTAGATATTATAAGATTTACTATCAAAGCAAAATAATTTGACTGCATGCAAGTGTTTGTATCAGCTAAAACATTTCTGTTTGCAGAACATAATTTGACTTAAATGTCATTATTGGGGAATCTTGTGTGTGTTGTGATGTTTGTGCTGGAGCCGCTTTATCCAAAACAGCACTCCGGTTAGAGAGTTGACACGGAGACAGGAAGTACATTCTTTGGACTTTATATTAGCTTGGTGCTGGTCATCAATACAGAACACATAATCTCTGATGTAGAATCACATACAGGATGTCAAATGCGGATGATGAGGATGAAGATAATGTAGTGAATAATAATGATGGAATGTAGAGTAGAGAATGGTTTCTGCAAAATAACACAGAAATAGAAATAAGGCTCATATTACAATGATTACAATAACTAACCAGACTCTGGTTATTAATAATAAGCAACAGCAACACTAATTGTTGCTAAAACATATCAGACACATTGCAAACTCATTGCAAACACATACATAGCTAATAAAGGCTAAGTTAGCATCTCATCCACACACTGTATCACTGAATAGCTTAACTTAGCTAACTAACTAGCATTAGCTTCATTTCTCAACAAAATAGTGCAAAAACGGGACATGAATAGACTTATTAACACACTGACTTAGCAGGACATTATGCATACTTCTTATAACATTCCTAACATTAAAGATCTGCAGCTTACATTTTTCACAAACGCATTCTCTGTGACGATGATAACAGGGTTGCCAACTTTGGGTACCTGGGTGGAGTGAGATTTTGATATCATGGGTTTAATTACACATATGCACACTAAATGACTGCTATCGTGTCAGTAGCGGGACCTTAGCATATAGGATATACAATATATACAAATACACAATATTGGACACAGACTATAAAGGGCACAAAGTTTCATTCACTAATGAAAGTCAAACGTGTTTCCACTGTTTTATTGTGTGCATAGGCCTGTCGCGATAAACAATTAAATGACTTATTGTACGATAGATAAAAATGAACCCGATAAATTGCCATTTACATGAGGATGTGACTAGCAGTTTGAAAGGATTTACTTGAATTATTATTTTATATTATCACAAAAAAAAAAAAAAAATGTATCCAACAAAATTAGTTATCGTGAGAGGCCTATACATGAAACGCACACACACACACACAAACAAATCTACAGACTTACTCCAAACTGCCAAATATATTAATTAACACACTCTCACTCTCATATACTCTTTGACTCTATGTTGGCCTAGTCGAACAATAAGCAGCAGACTTTTACTTTTTTATAATTTCTACTGGATCTTAGATCTGCGCATGCGCAATACGGGTCGGGGATTGACCAACCTTCTCCCACTGCTCTGCTGTCTGTTAACATTGTTAAGAGTGGTAGGGGCGGGGAGTGAGCGGATCGACAGCTTAAGCAGCTGTCAACTCAACATTGTAAATAACCAACCAAAAACGATCGCCGGTTCATCTTGTTTTTGGCGTGAAAATAGTTTGGGCAGCGTGAGAGCGTGAGATTTTGAGTGAAAGCGTGTATCACACGCCAGATGCTTGAGAGTTGGCAACTCTGTGATAATATGCATATGACGATGCGACCGCAATAATGTCCTGACATGAACGCATGGATGTATACAGAGGCGAAGTCCCGCCCATCTACTTCCGACCCATTGGACCTTATTTAGGAAGAATTATGTTTTGAAGTTAATGGGGAGAGAAAACGTATCTTTCGATCCCGTTTGAATTGTGCCATGAATTACACATATTATCTCAATCTTAAAAAAATAATTTCCATGTCAAAAAAGTCACAGTTTGTCATAAAACTGTTGAAATATAAGACTGTGAAAAATATGCAACTAGAAAGATCCCAGAGTCGCGTAAGTGATGTCATAACTGATGTCATAATTGTTTTCCTCCACAAATATAAGCGATAGCTAAGATAAGATAACTTTAACAAGATGCCTGTGTGCTTAGTACCAGGTTGTAATCATACTATCAATGGGTCTTGCTCGTTCTTTCGCTTCCCGTCTGATAAAAGGACCTGGAGTGGCTGGATAAAGTTAGCTACATAGCTAGTAGCGAGCACGTTAGTTAGCATTACAGCCTTAGTTAGCCGTATCATTTTTATTAGCCTTAACATGAAGTAACATTAAGTAACCCAACATGTTAAACAATAAGAGTAGTAGTCATATTTCGTGAAGCCTTTGAAGATTACTGTCACACCGGTGTGATCATTCTATAATACACCGTTTAAGCCCGGATGCCCCCGGTGGAGAAATGCTAACGCTACATTAGCGTCGGCGATCTTTTCTACTTCATGCTATCTGCACAAATGGTTGACATTGAACATTAAAAAGACCAGGCAGTTCAGTGAGAATCAAAGGAAGGCAGGCAGCCTGCTTTGCATGACATTCTTCTGGACGTGTTTCATTGTGGTGATAGTGAGGGTAGTCAATCCCTTTTTTGGCAATCTGTGACGGCCATCTTGGTGACGTATGTTGTTGTGCGAGACTTCACATTTTTATGGCACTTTTCTTTTTTTTTTACTTGACAAAATTATCTTTTGAATTGACAAACATCATGTGTAATTCGTGGCACAATTCAAACGGGTTTGAAAGATAATCTTTCTCTCGCCATTGACTTCAATACATAATTTTTTTTTAAATAAGGTCCCATGGAGGTCCACCGGAAGAGGAGGGACTTCGCCTCTCTATAATAAGAACTGGATACAGCCGCAGCATCGGAGGCGGGGTCTCGTTCTTTCCTATGAGAGCTGCCCATTGGTGCGTGAAGGCAAAATGGCCCAACTTTTCAGAGCAGAAGAACCCGTATGAGCAGTCACAGAGCATGCACCCCTTAAGCCCCGTCCCCCGAGCGCCCACTCTCGGCTCACTAGAATGAATGGAGAGCGAAAATACATCTAGATTCGTTTTTTAGTGCATTTTACAACTTTAAGGACTTCATGATTCTAATAAGGGCTATAAAAGTGTTCATACTGGGCAGTTTATTTAGTTTAAAAAATAATTATCCGCTGATTTACAGACGTTTCTTTCCCCATGTTAGTCAATGGGAAAAAGTCTTTCTGGGCCGGCGCACTTCCTGGGGGCTTGCATGAACTCACATGTGTAAACCTGGATGTATAATAAGAACTGGATACAGCTTGGGAGGCGGGGTCTCGTTCTTTCCTTTGAGAGCTGCTCATTGGCGCATGAGGACAAAATGGCCCAACTTTTGAGAGAATGAAACGTCACAGATTACCCGTCATGCCTGCCTGTCAGAGCAGAAGTACCCGTATGTGCCCTCATAGAGCATGCGCAGTTGAGTTGCCCCTTAAGCCCCGCCCCCGAGCTCCCACTCTCAGATGCGCGTTCATAATGCAGAGGAAAACAACTCTCAGAATAACATTATTAGCACATTTTACAACTTGAGGACCGAATGTTTTTAATAAGGGCTATACAAATGTTCATACTGGGTAGTTTATTTAGTTTAAAAAAAATTATCCAACAATTTACAGACGTCTCTTTCCCAATGTAAGTCAATGGGAAAAAGTGTTTCCGGGGCCCACAATCCATACGGAAGTGTAGTACTGCCGTTTTGCCTCAACGAATATTTTCCTCAGAGTCCGGCGCACTTCCTGGGCTAGGCTTGGAGTAGCCGTTGGGGAGAAAATCAGCGACGTAAACGGTGACGTCATGATGCAGCAGTGTCAGCACCAGTCGGGCTCTGGGCGGTGTGAACAAAACGGGGGCTGAAAAGAAAAACCGGTTGCGAACCAGAAAAGCTCTAGCACGGAACTAGAACGGGGACCGCGTTGGTGTGAAAGGGGCATAAGTTAACTTTTTTTTATACGAACAGCAGTCGCCATGTCAAGTGTAATGGGAAAATATCGTTTTTAACATAAATTCATTTATATAACATTTACCATATTCCACATTGTCAGGCTTACCCATTGGGTGTTCCTGAAGAGCAAGTTCAGGTGCTTGGTTCAGTGTCTCGTGTGGCAACACTGAATGACATCTCCAAGTGGACCATCACCAAAGTTGACACCCTGGCGGCACTCATGAAAACTGAAGATGGGTCCTGGGAGGCAGCAAAGGTAGAAAATAGAGGGATTATCAAATCCACACAATCAATAAAAAACATCATGAATCGTGAAATATACTCTTGCCTGTATCCTTTTTTTCATATGTGGTGATTTCTTCAATGTTGTTTAGAGCAAAGCAATCATCACCAAGTATCTGGAAACTCCTGGAAACTCCCTTGGCGCCACTGAGCTGAACAGCATTGACTCCAACCTGTGCTCATTAGACATCAGCGCGCTGGAGAAAATCAAGCCAGACAGCATCAGGTGGGTTGTTGTATGTAGGGTAAGGATACATAGACATTCCACCTTGAGTTTGGAATTTTGGACGGAGCTTTTTTTTGTTGTTGCCAGAAATTGAAATATTTGGGCGAGAGGCTGGAGCTGAGGCAGAATAGGTTCCCTAAAGTTAACAGCTACATACTGTATAGCTAGTTAACTTGATTAGCAATGTACATCTTACATTATTAATACCTGTTGATTAAGATGCTTGCTTAAGCTTAGGGGGAGAACATTCTTAAAACCAAATGATTTTACCTGGGAAAATTAACAGCCATCTCCTTTGAGTTTCTTATAGTGAAGCCAAACAACATCTGTCTTTGCGAGATAGCATTGTACGCACTAAAGCTTATGCTGCTTTATTGTCCTATTAACTCTAAATCTGATAATTATTTGCAAAATTATCATGAAGCTATATAGTAGAAGGCTTGAAAGTATCAACAACTGAGACTATAAACTCATCAGGATAATGTTTACTAGGTCTTCTTCTTAGAGTACTTTGCATTGGCTTCACTTTTCAGACCCAGAGGTTGTCACTTGGTGATGATGCAGACTTAACATTTTGTTATTTTTTCCCCAGAAATGCCAAACCTTTGAATTTGGCGTCATGTTCAACGGAGCAAAAGAAAGTCCTGTATGAGATCAGTAAAATCTCCTTCGTCTCACAGAGTTCCAATCCCACTACTTACTACAACTTAATTAGGCCCTATCTAGGTAAGAGTACATGTTATATGTATTTCTGGCTGTTTCTTTGTCCAGTAAAACTCCTTCTAATTTCCTGTATTTCTTTTCTACCTTGATAGGCGGGGCACCTCTGACAGATGTAGTAGAATTGTCAAAACAGAACATCCACATGGACTTGAAAACTTTCCGGAGTCTGGACCCCAACGTGATCTCTGTAAGGGTATTAGAGTTGACAAGAGAGCGGGTTTAGGACATCCATTAAATAATAGGAAATATTGAATATAACACTACTTAACTGAAGCTAACAATGTAATACATTTAGGAGGGTTAATGGTTAGAATAACCCAAAAATGATTCCAGCCCGCAGGGTTAGCTTAGTTAGCTTAGCTTGAATATACAATCTTTAAGATATCTGTTTCGTTTTCTTTGCGGCAACAATGGGGATAAGCTTTAATTGGAGTTTTGGCAATCAAAACAGTGTGCGTACCATGGGCTTTGGGAACGTCGCGACAGACACCCAGTTCTTAGTTAAGAAGGATGGACCCAAATGCAGGACATACACGGTTTTACTGAGAAGTACCTTTAATGGGAGATAGAAAATGGTGCTTGTAATTTATAGCTTTATCAATTTTTTTGACTTTTTTGTAAAAATTATCTCAGGTAAGAGGTAACGTGCAATTTACAAATCTTTGATTCGGTTTAAAGTCATTAAAATTAAACCAGGCTGCAAGGTGTGATCTGCAATCTCTCCTCCTTTCTGTTTTTAACAAGGCATACTGTATGTCCCCACAGAGCACAAAAAAGTTGTGAAATGTTCGATTTTTTGCAGCTGCAATTTAAAAAACTAAAATGTCCAAATCCATCATAGATTTAAAAAATGTAATTTACCAAAACTTTCACTTGTAAAAAGTATTTAAGCAACTTATTTCTATGATATTTCAATCGTTGCCTATGTGTTAATACTTCTGTCCAATTGTTTTGTGTGAAATGAGCAGAAATTGACTGCGGCGGACGTGAAAGCCCTATTGGGAGCCAATCTACCAGATCTGAAGGTGTTTGAGAATGCTACCACGGTTGAGACCTGGAGAAACTTGTTGACCCAGACAGAGCTGGACACCCTGGGTGTGGGCCTAACCACCAGCAGAGCCACCCCGACCACGGCACCACCAAACCCAGCTACCGTAAAAACAACAAAAGGTAAACACACTTTGTGTTTGTTATGACAACACTTAAGCAAGTATTCCCAGTAATACTTGCATTATCATAAAATGGATTTATAGATGACAAAGTTATACTAGTGGGTGACTTTGAATGATTCTACAACGCACTGTCTAACTAGATCAAATCTCATCTATAGGAAAAGCAACAACGGCCAAGACGGTGAAAACCACACCAGGTGAGCATAGCTTCTGTGTGTTTTGAGCAGTGGTGAAAAGTAACTGAGTAGATTTACTCAAGAACTAAGCTTAGATATAATTATGGAGTACTGGTTGTTGAGTATTTCCATGTCTTGCTACTTTATACTTCTACTCACACAACATCTCAGAGGAAACATTGTTCTTTTTACTGCGCTACATTCATTTGAGCTTGTCATTGACAATCTTGAAGATTTAATATATCCTATGTATTTGTGAGTGATAAAAACAGGATAAGATAATATTCTAAAACACTTTTAAGAGAGCCATTGTGCATAATGAGTACTATTATTTGTGATGCTTTAATACATTTTTCAGATAATATTTACTACTGTAATGTTACTTAGGCAACAGTTTGAACTCACAATTTATACTTATTCTGGAGAAACTCACAAAACTGCTGGCCGGCTAACCAATCAGAGCAGACTGAGCTCTGGTTTCAGACAGGGGGTGAAAATAGGTACTGCAGCACAGGCAGTATGAGAAAAAGAAAGAGCTTTTTGAACATTAAAGCATGGAGACATGTCACAGTAGAGACACTACATACTGATATGAACCTGAAAATGAGCATAATAAGTCCTCTTTAATGGCCCCATTTTTAATTCACATCTGTTTCGTATTATGCAACTAAATGGATTTCTAGCAAAGGAAGTAACACCACTGGGTGACTGATTTGACAATGCATTGTCTAACTAGCTCAAATCTCCTCCACAGCTAAACCAATTACATCCACGGCCCCGAGAGTGACAACAACAACAACCGCACAAGGTTAGCATCTATGATTGGTTTCTTATTTACATCATGCCGTTTTTTAAGAGCTTAATCATTGCTTTTTAACAATCTGATCAATGACCAATAGTGTTGAGAATACAATTACGCCTCTGTGATTTATGTCATTACTCCTATAATGTATGTTTGTTGCTTTGATTTCTAGTTAACGCCACAAGTGGGGGAGCACAGCTTGCAAAACACCCAACATCCATGTTCCTGGCTGCTCTGCTGACAGCTGTGCTGCTGCAACTACTACAATAACCATCATAAATAGATGTGAAACTTACTTATCATACTCTTCAATAATCAGTAACTATTTAATACATTTTTCAGTAATGCTCACTTCTTTAGAGTGAGATTTGTTATAATATGTTAGTTATTTATCACCCTGGGAAAAAAATTGGTAATTCTACTGCTCACTCTTAATGTTTAAAATTGCAGAAATATAACATTTATATAATGTGTTCTAAGGTGATGGGTCACTATATACTCAACTTACTGGAATTTGTAAAGGTTAGCACTGCTAATAATAGCCTTTATTTTGTATAATTATTAAAAGCTTAAGTGAATGAAAAATACATATCATAAAGTGCACTTTATTGTCTATTATTGTAACTGCAATGCTACTCCTCAAATTAATAAATGCTAACTAACAAATACCTGATGATTGTGTTTGTGTCTCTTGGATATTTATCAGTTTTACATAACACCATCACTATCCAAACGCATGGCCCTAGCCAGGCTTGGGGAGTAACGGATAACATGTAACCAGATAACGTAATCAGGATACAAAATAAAGTAAATGTATTCTCTTACAGTTACATACATTGTTTTTTTGTATTAGTAATAAAATAATAATGACAATAAACAGTGCATATTTCCTCTGAATTATGTTGTGTTGTAGTTCCCCACTGTCACCACTGAGGGGCAGTGACTCATTACAATCGTCTACAACTGGCTGCAACAACATATCATTCAACACTGTTGGTTATGAATTTTTGAAGTATATAAATTATTGTTTCTTGTATTCTGTCCTTCACTTGTGTAAATAGCATTACATGGTAGAGGGGCTCAGCAATCCTGAAATGCAAAGAGTGATAGTATAGTATTTGGAAAGTATAATGAATGAGTGCAAGATTTTATGATGTAATGGCCGTGGCATAAGTAAATGAGTTTTAATAGGTTTCATTGCGTACTTCTAGTCCTCGGCCCGTCCACACGGCAATAATGATCTGTAAAAATACTCACTAATGAGTTACTTTCCTGTAATGTGTTATAAAGTTGTATGTGTATGTAAATGGTCTGCTAAGGCTAAAATCCCAAAGTTCCCTGCAGAGGGAGTTTCTCTCTCACACTTGAGAAGAGATTGTTTTGTATTTCTGAATAATCCAAGTTTAAATGTTTATGTATGACTGATATTGATTGATTGACAGCAGCGCTCTACCTCCCCCTGCTGCATATGGAACAAACTGCCTCCATTGCCTCATTGTTCCTGATGAATCCCCTCTGCGGCCATTCTCCTTGACAGTGTGACATGGAATCTGGGCAACAAGGTTTGGCGTCCCTTCCCCCAGTGACAAGCCCAAGTGTGCTCCAGTATATAAGCATCTGATTGTGGTTAGCTTTTGCAAGATCATCACAACATACAGACAACAAAGGGAATTGAAAGAATGAAAAACAGCATTAGTAAATGGGGAGTAAGTAATCAGAAGTAAGTAGGTCAACGTTACAAGGGCACTGTTCCCTGTTGGCCCCCCCTTAGAACCACCCCTGATATCTACATTCGTGTTTTGAAGAATATTTTAAACCTAACCTCTGACTTAACCTTTATCCCAGTGTTTTCATCCTTTGTGACACGATAGAAAATCACATGTGTTTTCTGACTGTAAGAATAGATTATAATATTCAGTTATTTTTCAGCAATACTACTTGATAGAAGTAATCTAGAAAAGGGTTCAAGTTCTTAATTCTTACTCAATTAAAAAACTTTAATGCACATGAGTATTTAAAAAAAGAAATAACTATTCCTTTTTGTACTATTATACATTTTAGCATTGAGTCTTGTTATTATTAATTAGCTACAGTTGAAGTGGTATTATCACATTGACATTGTTGGACTTGGTTTAAACAGTATGTGTGTAATGGAGTTTAATTTATAGGTTGTAAATGAATGCTAACGTTAATGTTTTGTATGTAAAACCTGAATCACTGTCACTGAATATAGGGGAGGGAAAATGTAATATTCCTATCTGAAATGTAATATTATGTAATAGTTCCTTAATAGAGAAAGAATTTCTTAAAAAATACTGTGGAGAAGTAAATCAACTTAGTTACATTCAAGCGCTTATTATAAAAACAAATCTAATTTTAAAAGATATTTAAATAGCAGAGGCATGTACATTCCTTTGACTAAAATGTATTTTAATTACACGTTATTATTTTTGGTTTTCAGCGTCATTATAGAATGTTTGACTGTTTGAAATAAAGATGAATATTGAGGGAGTGACTGGCTGCAGCAGCACCACATAACGTACAGCATGTGACAGTGTGAAGTCCTGCAGGAAATTCAGCATAAAGCTTCAGCTACAGGAAGCAGGAAGTGGGGAATTGGGGAAGCACGTAAAGAAACAGGTAAAACTGTAAAGCACGAAAGTGTTCCAAAGTGAACAGGGATTTTTTTTTTTTTCACCGACATACTTTCAAACTCCACACAGTCATATGTTAGGAACGTGATTTGATGAGTCAGTGTTCACTTTGACTATCACCATAATGTATTTCACTATGTGTGGCTGATTAAGTGATTCATGATGAGTCATGCTGAGTTAAACATGCTACTCATGTCCAGTATTCCCAGGGATTCCCACGGCACAATCATACACACGTGCACAGATTCTGTACAAGCAGGTGTGCATACAGACACAAATTAGTGTATGGATATTCTCTTATGTCATATTTAAGAGGAATGCTGGAGCTCACAAAGGGAATCTATACATTTTTAGAGTAAGAAAACTTTTATTTTGAAAGGATAACAATAATTATAATTATTATAATTTTTCTTTCTCTATTATAGTTTTATCAGATGTGAAACAGTAAGTGTACCCGTATACACCAACAATATTCCCCTTGTTGCTATCATCTTTAACATTCTTTCCAATTAATTGTCAATGGAGCGCAGTTCCATTCTTTATATTTTATCGCAAATTTGACTTTTAGGGCTCATGTTTTAGGATTTGGCAGGGAGTTGTTTATGCTTGATAATACTTTTGGACTTTTTTAGACCATAGGGATATCATGAATGGATGCTAATATATTCGTTTAAACTTTTAATGGTATAAAGGAGAGCTATGCCCTTTTTCCAAATTCATACACGATATATCTCTATGGTCTGAGAGTGAGACAGTCCGCACGTTTTAGCAAACATAATAAACTCTCTCCCAAATCTACAAGCTTGATTTTAAAAAGTACAATATTAAAAGCATTACACATGAGTTGGAAGATGCATTAATCCCTCTAAAGTTTAGAATAAGCAGATGGTCCAACAGGACGTATAATTACCTTCTTTAGAATCTTAAGGCATGATCCCAAAGCAAAATAAACGACTCATTTATTTAATACCCTATTTGATACAGGGCATAAACTTGGGTCCTCTTTTATAAGTAAACACATAGAAGAGTTCATGTAATGTAAGTCTATAACATCGGCAAAGTCCATTGTTAAATTAGGAAAGATACAGTAGTTTGTATACAATATTTTCTACACAGGCATGCTGGGAAATACTGTTAACAAGTTAAAAACAATCCTAACGAGGGAGCTTATCACAGACTGGATAACACTATCTCCTTTTCCTTGCCAATGGTTTTTCCAGTTAGAGCACACTCCAAGTCTCCAACCATAAATATGTAGTAAACAAAGTGTTCGTGACTCAGGTTACTTTCTGAAAATCCCAGAAAGAACAACTGGCAGCATCCCAGAAGAACTCTGATCACAGACACACACACACACACACACACACACACACACACACACACACACACACACACACACAGCTGCAGTAAAATACTATTTAGGAAATTATTTCAGTTTCTATATGTTTCAAAGTGACATCACAATATATCACTCACACTTCTATTGGCTAGTGTTTCAACAGATTGTAGAAGATAGGCTAAGGGGCGGGACATGTGCAAGCATTTGACCAATCACAGCAGAGCCAGTCAGCTAAACTAAACAATTAGAGCAGACTGGGCTCTGGTTTCAGACAGAGGGTGAAAAGAGGTGCTGCAGCACAGGCAGTATAGGAGAAGAATTAAGAGCTTTTTAAACATTAAAGCATGGACACTTGTCACAGTAGAGACACACAATAAAATATGAACCTGAAATTTAGCATAATAAGTCCTCTTTAAAATCGATTTGATAGAACTTAATCAAATTACTTTTGTCCGTTTTGTCCACTATTCAGAAAATAAACTCCAAAGCAACTACAATATACACTGATTCAATCAAGGTTGAATTATGTAAAAGGAGGTAAAGAATTTGCAAATATGTAGTATTATTCTTGAAATACTAAATGTCTAAAATGAATGCAGTTCTGTACAAATGTGTGCCTTGTTTAGCATTTCTTCCTGCTAGCATTCCTTTCCTTCATTCATCTTCCTTATCATGGTTCAGACAGAGGTCCTGTTTTATAAGAGTTCTTTCACAGCTGACTGTGATAAGAAGGCTAGATACACAACATGAATTCAGAATGAAATGTGGGTGTACTGTGGCCTGGGAGGTTTGTTTTTGCACATTCCTGCTTCCGAAACTAATACATCTGGATGCAGAATGGTAAACTAAGATGTGCAATAATTGCAGAGTGAATTATTCAACATTATGCAACATGGCAAATACCTAAATCTAGTTAACATTCTCTTTTTCTTGTGCATGAATCCTAATGTGTTGCTCCACAGTGGCTCACGTGACGGTGATAATGTGCTGAGAGCAGAGCCAGAGCTAACCGGTCACGGAGACAGAACAATGGGAGGCAAAACAAGCCCGGAGTTTCCCTCAGGCCTCTGGAACATCACGTTCAACTCCATGTTTGTTGTTAAAGGGAGAGGTCACAGGCTCGCAAAGTCTCGCGGCCTCATCCAGAACTTGGAATCTTTCCATTCTATCTGCAGAGGAACTGAGTGAGGGATTTGATACCGGGGTTATTAAAAGGCACTGCGACTTTAATCCTCTTCTCGGTATAAAACCAGCAGTGCTGTCATTCACTATGTGAGATATATGGCTGCACAGTTAGTGTACCACTGCAATAATATAAATCAAAACAGATACAAACATAATGCAAATATTATTTAGAACAGTTAGCCACAAAGAATAAAAGCTGTCAATGATCAATCAAAGGGAAATAAATCTTTAACAACAATCACATGAACGTGACCATGTGGTCAACATCTGCGGGTGTTCGGGGGAAACTCCACTGCAGGCCTGCTCTTGTTCATCGTATTATTTTCATAAACAAACTGAAATCACATTATGCTAACATTTGAGGTTTGGAGAAACTCCTGTTCACCCCAAGCCCCCCTGCAGGTCAGCGGGATGCTGAGCAACATTTCCTTTTTGTTCAATGATTCAGCACAAATGTGCTGAATAAATGTGCAGTATTTATAGGACTTTCCATGCAAAAATTCCACTCTGACAGCAACTCTTTAATGTGACAACACTTGTGCAACCAAATAACACATAGAAGCCTGTGCTTGAAGTTATTATGATTTCCTCCTGGGCTTTCCCTTCTTGAAGAATTTGCATAAGATTAATTGAGGCGGGATGTGTGGTGTGATGTGGCTTAAATTGTCTGAGTTCCTCCTTATGCTTTTGGCCTCTGTTGGGGAGCTAATTGGAAAGCTTTGCAAGCTAATTATATTAGCCCTTAGGGGCCCTTATATGCTAATTTCCAGGTTCATATTTGTATTTTGTACTTCTAATGTGACATGTCTCCATGCTGTAATGTTCAAAAAGGTCTTTATTTCTCTCATACTGCCTGTGCTGCAGCACCTCTTTTCACCCTCTGTCTGAAACCAAATATTAAGAAGTTAAACTACGAGCAAAATACTGCAAAATATAGTTCATCTTCTAGTTTATTACATGAAGAGGACTACTTTCCTGTCGGGAACTATCTACATCCAAGTGATCTTGGATACCAATTTGACTTTTGAAAGCCATATTAGAAGCATGACTAGAAAGCTGAAATATAACATTTTCAAATTTAAACATTTTAGGAACTCATTAACCATAGAAGCATCGAAAACCTTTTTGCATGCCATGATACTATCATATTTTCACTACTGTATAACCTGCTGGTCCCAAGCAACTAAGACTGCTATGTGACCACTTGCAATATACTGTCCAAATACAAACTTTTCAGTTATGATAGTCTTGTTTTACTTTCCCGAGTTCGATTGGTATTCAGAATCATTCACAATTCTACAACACCACCGTTGAGGTTTTTTTTTCAGTTTCGGCGTGAGTAGAGTTGCAGAAACTCCAGATCTGCATTAAATGCAGATCTAACCATCCCTCTGAGGCGCACTGCCTTTGGACAATCAGCATTTTCGTTTACGGCCATCAAGCACTGGAATACTCTTCCAGTTGAACTTAAAGCCTGTACTGATTTTAACTAGTTATCCTATGGTGCAAAAAAAATGATATTAAGCGACCAGTCATGCCAACATTAATTACACTGTAATCTGAGTTTTTTTAATTTGAACTGTGTTGTCATACTACATTTTAGATATTTTATTTAAGTGTATTTGAAGTGTACTAAGTATTATGTTCGTAGCCTGTATTTAAATCAGGCTTTATAATTATTTGAGTGACCGAGATCATGTAAGTGTATTTCAAGTGTACTATGTATTAATTTATTGAGCTGTACTTAAATCAGGTTTTAAAATTGTTTGACTGATAGAGATCATGCAATGTTATTATTTGTTTATTGATTGTTATGAACCTGTCTGAGGACCACAGATGGAAATTAGCTATTAGCTATAATCTGGCATATTGCATCTCTTCTCTTTGCTGAGATTAATGTTTGTGTATGCATGGTCCTTCTATAAATAAAGAAAAAACAAAATACATACTGCCCAACATGCTTTTGTGATTAAATACTATTTAGTTTGCATAATAAATGAGAATGTTTTCAAAGCAGCTACTGATTTCTAGTTTGAGCTGCAGATTACATGCCTATTTATTGAGAAAGTGTGCCATTAATAAATCTACTGCATAGATGTATATTTTAACTGCAGCAAATTAAGTCTGCAAAAAGACTTTGCTCGGTTGGTGACAAACTGAGGAGTGTATTTATATGTGTCTGAATAGAATTCCCCTCTTGGAGCCAGCAATCTGTGTGCTGTGTTATTCTGAGTGACAGTTTTCTGGAAATCCCCCACCTAGTTGTTAGCTCCGCCCGCTGCAGGCAGCCACACAGAGGGCATTACAGACTGCTGCACAACTCTCTGCTAGTACACAACCAAGCGCACCTCGGCCCGAAAAACAACCAAACATGGACCTCCACAGGACCAGTATATTAAACCAAATGGATTACAGTCGAGATTCTAAAGAAGGGAAGCCGCCTACGTCGACAGAAGAGCGGCTGGACAGCGGCCTGGACTCCCTGAAGGAGGAGGAGTACCAGGCGGTGGCGGCGGAGATCCGTCGGCTGCAGCTGGAGTGTGAGCCTCCGCAGCACAAACAAGATGTAACCGGAGAGCTTCAGGAATGGAAAACACAACTCACAGAAGACGGAGACACGTAAGTCACTACAGGAATAACCCTACAGAGTTAAACAAGACGGTGTTTGTGAGTTTTCGGAAGTCTTGCAGTATCGCCTTGCTAGGCCCAGTTTGGGTCTTCGGAGGTAATTTGATCCCTTTCCTGTCGGGAACTATCTTCCTCCAGCTTGTCATTACAACACACGGGACTAACTTATTCAATGTTTTAGGCTTACTTAAGTATTATAGCTTATAAAAGTACACTGCTGCAGTTTTAAAAATACACACAAAGGGTGTCCGGTTTGATAATGGGGCTAGCTGCGGTCAGACACAGTGGAATCGGACGTAAACAAAAGGCTATTATCAGGAGGGATCCTACTTTGGCCGCGGGTTCAGACTGGGAAAGTCCCGGGCGCGCCGCCAAGGAATCCTACCGAAGCGCGCTCCCGTGAAGCAAGAATAAGGAAAACCTAGAAAAATTAACGCAAATATGTGGAAGTTGGCAAGTAACTGTCTTTTGGAATACATGTTTGCAATTTGTTCCCATCGTAAATCCATGGGAAGTTTTCGTTAGAACACTTAATCCGCATGAAAATATAGTAAAACCTCAAGACTTACTGTTCCTGGGGCACATGCATACGTGCTATGGCGTCAAAGTTGTACACTGTGACTTAATTCATCAGAACTGAGGACAGGAACTGTGTCATGTTACAGAGATTCAACCTGGGGTCAGAGGATCAGTGGTTCTCAATTTGGGCCCTGGGGAACACCTCAAAAGGGGGACCATTTGTATTTATTTACACTCATTTACTGTAACGTCATTCTTAGGAAAGTATCCCATCAAAAAGTTACCCCCAACATGGAGTAATTACAGCATCCATGTTTACATTTTCTAGTGTAAAAAGGGTCGCCGTGTTGCACTTGCCACACTATCAAATTGCTCCGAGTGTTGATACAAAAGAAAACATTATTTTATGTGAATATTTTGGGACATGAGATGGGAAACTTGGCCATCTACTGTATTGAATATCCAGAGATATCTTTGAGGAATATACTTCCTGTCTAATCATTACGTTTTTTTTGTTTTTTTTAACACATACAAGGTATCATAATTCTATTGTCTTCTCCAGAAGACATCAGCAGAAATAGGATGCAGAAGTATTACAACCCTTTACCTGTAGGCCTACTTGATGTTGCACCGTACAATTGTCCGGTTTTATAATTTGAAGCAAATATTCTGCCTTTATAAACCGCTAAAAATGACATAAATAAGGACAGCTTCAAAAGTAACAGATATGGATGATGGAAAAAATCTGATGTTTGTGTATTTGCGGTTGGAAGAAAAACAATAATACAGATTAAGCTGTGAGGTGTGTATGTATTGTAACAGGTTTTCTACCTTCATTCTCTATCTTTATAGGCTGCTCCACCTGGCCATCATCCACGAGGCCAAGGACTACATCAAACAAATTATAGACCTTTCCAAGAGCACAGACTTCCTCAATACACAAAATGACCAGAGACAGGTACTGAAGAAGATTTAAAATATTGCTTCTTGTTTTAGTCTGTGAATGTGATAATTCTATAGGACCTATGGCTGTAGTAGCCATAGTAAATATTGTCTTTTATCTCATAAAACAATGAAACCCCTTCTGACGCGCCTGAACTTCTTCCCCTCACAGACTCCTCTCCACTTAGCGGTAATAACAGGACAGGCAGAAGTGTGCCAGCAACTCCTGCTTTCCGGGTGCGACCCCACGCTGGTGGACGACAGCGGGGACACGCCTCTTCACATCGCCTGTCGCCATGGCAACCTGCTGTGCTTCAGCGTCCTCACAAATAACTGTCGGCCAGAGCATTTGCACACGGTGATGGCTGCCTGCAACTATCATGGTGAGACATAGAAAGCATTTGCTTTTCCAAACGATACGTGTTTACATGCTAGGAAACCAAAATGTCTGGATTTAGCTGCGGTTGGCTAAATTATTATGTTTCTAACATTATTAGAATATTATGTTCTGTGGCTGTGGTGGTCATTTCCATTCTGTGGTGGCCCACCCTCAGTGCATGGAAACAGGCGAGACACTGAACTGCTATTTAAATAGAGGAATGATGGGCAGGAAAAGAAAAATGTCTATGGTTAGGAGGAAGACGACATTTAAGCAAGAAAGGGGAATGCCATAGTCATTCCTATCCAAGAACTATCTGTGACATGGAACATGATTGTTAGATGCTAAGGTTCCAAATATATTTAGGCCTGTTGTGCCTTAAATATCGCATTGTTGGCACCTTTTTTTTATGGCAACCACATTCATATAAAAAAGTGGAAATAAAAAACATGAACATATTTTGCCACTATAGGACTATATAAACGTTTAATAGTCAGCGTTAACATTGCAAAACAATGTAAATCCCAATTAAAGTTAATACTCTGTCCACAGTCAATCTTCAGAAATTAAATGGCTTGTACTGGTCTGGTTTCAGTTGTTAATTATTCTTTGATTTTGTCTTGCAGGTCAGAGCTGCCTCCACCTGGCCTCAGTTCAGGGTTTCCTATTGCTGGTGGAGAACATGGTGGATCTCGGAGCTGACATTAATGCGAAGGTAAACAACACACACAATTATACAATCACATATGTTTCATAAAGGCCTATAAGGCCACAGCATAATGGAGTAGCTTCTTAAATGAGTTTCTCTATCTACGAAACCAGAATTGTTTGGAATATAATGCAAATTAATCGAATTGTGAGAGAATGAAAGATTTCCACCCTTAGTTTTTTTGGAACAGCCCCCTCCTGTTGCTAATAAAGCCTCGTGTCCTCTGTGTGCTTCAGGAACAGCGGAACGGTCGCAGTGCACTGCACCTCGCCGTGGATCTGCAGAATCTCCCCCTGGTCCAACTGCTGCTGAAGAAAGGAGGGGACCCCAACCTCCTGACCTCTGGAGGCCACACCCCCTTCCACCTCACCTACGGCCGCCACAACGACGAAATCCGGAAAGAACTGTACTCTCTCACCAATCCTGAACTGAGGGAGCTGCCTGACAGCGAATCAGACGACAGCGAGGAAGAAGTGGACGAAGAGTCTGATGAGGAGGTGTGTGTCCAAACAGCAGAGATGTAGCATTAAAAGTAGCATTTTTCTAGCAAGTGTGTAACCACTTTCTTTGTGTTTGTAGGTGGGATATGACGACATCCAGTGGAACGGACATTAGCAGGAAGGGAGAGAGAGGAAGTTACAGAGGCAGGAGGCTGTGACACAAAGAAACGGCTCGGCACGTCGACTTCTTCCAGAAAGTGACGTCACATGAGCCCAGGAGTGCAGTGACACGGCGCGGGCGTGGACGCGTAAGATTGGACAGGCCGTTCCAGGCTGCGGGGGGAGAAAAGGCGCTGAGATGTGTGAATACATGATGTTGAGAGGGTTGCTTGTATTCTGTGAAAATCATTTGTCACAAAGAAACATCCTTCCACACAGCTGGACCTGCAGCAGCTCTGTTGTACGATATTGTAAATGCTGTGTATACAAAGATGTATTTTTTATGGAAGCTGTGAACGTGTACAGTTGAGCAGGTTGTATATGTGAGACAGCAAACAGTCCAGCACACTCCAGTGAAATTAAAAACACTCATATTTAACAGAATAACTTTGTGTTGGTATATTTGTGGGGACTGGGGTGGTTAAAATGGAGGCAATTTTCTGAATTGAAAGTTTTTTTAGATTCTCAGGAAGAAAAATAAATCTGTTTTCGTTAGAAAAGAGGCTTTTACGTGCATAAAATATGTTTTGTGCTGCCAATATGAACACATGATCTATATAAATAAAGGATACCGGCACCTCCAAATGTAAAATAAATCCCATGAAGTTTAGAATTAGAGCTTCTAATTTCAGTAAAACAAGCACATTTCTCAGTACTTTGAGATAACAGAGATACTCTTGTGTATTCAGGAAAATAGCTTCAATATTACAGTTTTCAGTTTTAATAATCTGGTTAATGAAATAGTTTTTTTTTACCTCTCAAAATTCAGATACAATAATGTAGTTAACTCAGAACAACACAGTTTTCTACGGAAGAAGAACAGGGCCACAGGTGAAAGATATTTGAGATCTGACGAAAAGTGAATTTCCTTTTTGAGATTAAAATCCTGAGAAAAAATAAATTGTATTTTAACTCAGAATTGGGACTTATTCCTCAGAACCAAAATCACTTTTGGTAGGATCTTAAAAAAAAGAAGTCAAAACCTTTTTCCTTAGATCTCTTTTTTCTTCATAAAAAGAAAAGTGCTCATTATCTGAAATTCAGAAAAACTGCATATGCATTTAGCTCCTTGGTCCTAGAAGGAGGCTCTCAACTATAAGAAAGATCATAGAAGATCCAGTAAGTAATAGTTGGCGCGTGACGATATTTTAAGGCTGCACTTATACGAGAAATGACCATGTGCCTTCCTTCTGCCGTCACTGTCTGCTGCTATAAATGCCTCCATCGCAGCATGACAGCTGACTTTCAGTCCTTTTATTTTCATATAATGCATTCCGGGAAGGAAGTGACTGATAACTCAACAACTCCTTTCCACTGAATGAGGAAGTAGCGGGCATAAGACCCTGCAGCAGTTCCTCCAGCTGTGTGTGTGTGTGTGTGTGTGTGTGTGTGTGTAAAGAGATAAGAGCATCGGGGAATTCTGAGTTTGATTTGCTCAGTCATCTACATCAGGACGTTTTTGGGAAGGTGGTGTTCAGAAAGAAGGGACAGGAAATTCCCAGGAACAGAACACTCAGCTGTTCATGACATTCCTGCTTCTCATTCCTCCAAAAGAAGGGAATCTCCACGGAACAACAGGATGCTTCAGTCAAGTTCGGGGCAGAGGGGAGGAAGGGGGTTTTACTCTAGTTCCTGTAACATACATATCAGAAGTTACTGTTAAATACACTTATGCAAATCTGTGATTGTTTCGCAGGTCATGCCAAGTATGTTGGCTTAACACACTGCAAGTCTTACCATGGAGACATCGCATGACTTTATAACAGCTGTAAATACATTAGACTGTACAGTTGAACTCATATCAAACAATTGTAGGGCAGTGGGGGCTCAGTCTGTAGGTACTTGCAAACGAAAGGTTGATGGTTAAAGTCCTACTACAATGCTCCCCGGGCACTGTACATATTAGCTGCCCCTCCTAGCAACCGTGTGATAGAGGGCTTATTCAACTCCGTTGTTTCTGTAATTGTTTGAATTTGATCCTTTATTCTTACAACATGTGTTTTTTCTCAATCAAACAGGCATCTATGATTTTAGAAACCATTTTCATTTGAATCAACTTTTGTGACATTTATCCTCTTGATTCATTCTCCAGTAAGTCATTGTTATAGCCCCTTTCACAATGGTCTTTCACCAATGTGAATGTAATGTTAGCTGAGCTGGACGGTCTCTTCATAACCCAAATTCATATGAGGAGAAAAGAAAAACAGGGAAGATGTTCAATAAAAACATTGTGTTTATTAGAAGTGCAATTTACAACAATGGCAGCAGAGAGAAGGGGGGTTGAGACACAAGGGGAGAGAATGAAATAATTAGCGACTTCCTGTTGACCTGAGCAGACTTCTATGCTCTGATTTAGGGTGAGACAGGGGTGACCATACTAAATCAGAGCATAGAAATCACCCTGGAACTACAAAACAGTGGAGAGGAGGGGGTGGCACTTTAATTTAGATCAAAATAATGTATGTGGCAGCCCTGAGTAAAGTTTGGAAGCACTGTTGAAATACAGTGACTCAAGAAGCTATGTAAAAAATGGTGCAGTGGTGACGTATTTTTGTAGGCTGAACCCGAAGTTAGCATCGCAACGGCTCCCTCTGCAAAAGCCGATTTTTTCCATCGGCTTTTGGAACATAAATAAAATAAGATCTGTGGCTAATGTGTTTATGATACTTGCTTTCTTCAGCAGGATAATCTCCAAATATCAACACAACTTTAATGATTTTTGAGTCATAAATGCAATCGCAATAAGTAAAAAAGCTAACGTTAGGCTTTAAACAAACTACATGACAGTTAGTTGAATACCGCTAAACTAAAGGCGGCTAATTTTCTTCTTGATGACGTTTAATAGCCTCGTTCAGCAACTTGTTAGCAAACGCAGTTTTTTTACACGTAGAAGCTCCGGGCATTCACAAGTCGGGTATTTATTGACGTATTTTATGTCCTAGATCAAAACGTGAAAATCCTGAAAGATTGTATAGTATACCCATAGAATTTATTCCAGACAAACGTTTGATACTTACACGTTTTGCACAGCAGGATAATCTCCACAGATTAACAACAACTTTATGATTTTCTAAACATTCAAGCAATCACTGCGCATCACTCACTCTAAGCTAAAGGCGGCTAATGTTCAGCAAAATGACGTTTGGTAGTTTTAGCTGCTTTTAGTCAACAGCCATTTTTAGGATTCATAAAAGTGAACTACTAACGTGAATATTCTGGAAACCTTCATTAACCACAGACCTTATTTCAGGCATCTAAATAGAAACACGTTTTGTTTTCCAAAAATGCTTGCTCGTTCCCGGGTTTTAGGACTCAATCCTTCACTGCTCTATACTAAGAGGTATTGAGAGGTTATTGTGCTGCTGTTGTTGTTGTCGTGTTACTATCCCCCATCTTTTCAATCTGCTCATGTCGCACTCATCAACTAAAGTCGTTTGGGCTCCATCCAGACAGAGGAGGAGATATCAGACTGGTGTGGTGGTACTGATGTGAATGTTCCGCATCTTTCCAGAAAATACAGGAGGGGTGGATATGTGGAGAATATCGTGTCCAGTCAGAGACGATGCTAAAGGAGGTGTTGGTGCAGATGGGTAACGTTTCCACCCACCTGCTAATAACTGTTTATCTTTGTATTTCAACCGCCACCTCTTTGGAACAAGATGATACCAACTCATTCCCTGTAGGCGAGACCTTTTTGCAGAGGAGGAGGTGGGGGTTTTTCTGATGTTGCCATTCATCCTTTTCAGAATCTCATCATTCTCTCTCAGACAAAGCCACCAGGTGGACATCGATCTCATTCTCTGACAGAATCCTGGAGCACAAACACACAAAAGTTAACGAGCATCCTTTTTTGTTATGCCAGATGTTTTTAGGCCTTCAAACACGGACACGTTGAGAACACATTGAACCCTCTAAGCCCTTCCTTTGATCTTATCCCTGCTTTTGTTTTAAGGGGAATTTCCATTAATCTGTTCTTATCCATTTTTAGAAATAACCCTGAGGAGATATTGACAACGCCAACACATGCTTAAGGGATTTCACTTTTGTCAGTGTCAGCACAAAGATGCAAGACTTCTGCAGGAGTAGAGGCGACTGTTTAAGGCTGCATGTTTAGATAAACAGCAAAGATTGGTTCTTAAAATGCATCCAGGAAGTTGAAATAAACTAGAAAGTGCAAAAAGGTAATTTACTCATGGTCAGCATTATATTCCCTACACAGGTTTTTATATTTATTTGGTCATTTTTATTTATTTATTGACTTATTTACCAGATGCATTTTTCTGCAATGGAACAAAAAAACTAAACAAAATAAACAAATGAAATAAATGATAGTAGTAAAAAAAGATGATGATGAAAATGATATGAATTTAAGTCTACATTTAAACTGATTACAAGGTAGTAATATGCAGAGGAGACTGAGATACTGTATGTCTTAATTATGTCTCCCATTTGCTAACCTTTGCTTCAATTCATACGATTCATAATTCATCAAGGGTTGAAATTAAAGAGGGATTTCTATTGATTTACTTTCTTTATAGGAGGGCAAATACTCACTTGAATCCAGATCCTTTTGTAGTGATAATTCCCACCTCTAGCTCAGAGGGCTTGAAGTCGATGGACAGAACGGTGGCCAGGCATGAGATAGCCGTCTGTATTGAGAAGAGAATTGTCACAATAAGCATTAGAGAAAAGAAGGGAGAGAGGGGGAACAAAATAAACATTGCGCCCGAGAATTAGATAATAGATGAATATATTTGAGTTCAGGCCAAAACAAGACATTTGATGACATTATCTTGGGCTTTGGGAAGCACTGATTGACATTGTATTTACCATTTAACCGACCAAACAACAAATAGAAGAATAATCAACAATGAGCTTGTTAGTTGCAGCCCTATTTTTTGAAATAAAATATCTAAAATAATATCAGTTTTATCATATCAGTGCCTGATTTGTATCAATTATTTACATGTTGGTCCTTTTGAGGGCTTCAACCGTTTGGTTTTTGACTTGCAAAGTAATGCATTAACATTCTAGTTTGGTTACACAATTGTAAAACTCCCTGCTGTTCTGACATCCAGAGAACTCCCTGAATTTCCCAACTGAAATTCCAAGACAAGATATTCAGCAGGTCTGTTTTATGACAGAAATCCAATGTTGCATTGCGTATCGGAATATTACGAAACGTAAAAATACAATTGTAAAATATGATTTTTGTTTAACATAGTTTAAGCTACTGTGACGCAAGAAACATATCGCAAGTATAGATTTTTTTTTAGAATGTTTTATGTATAATTGTCTTATAACATATCTCTATAATAATCTTTTTAGCTATGTTTCATTTCCTTTTGAATTCTTTCTCACTTGATGAAAGTGCCGTTTCCTGAAGTTTAAAAAGTGAAAATCAGAAGAAGCAAGTCTCTTAAAAAGCACATGGGTTAAAATGTTTATTTGAAATAGCTTAAAATAAAACACACACTTATAACAGACTAAATAACAACATCCTTACAGACAACAGTAACAACATATCTCTACACATTTGACCCCCTCACTCACTTAGGTCAATTCTGACTATTTAAAAAGACAGAATTTGTGCTTTGATGGGCGATAGAAAGCCAAGGATGTGCTTTTCACAGGATTCATACAAACTGCTTACATGCTGTTTGAAATAAAGGGCCTTAGTCTCACGTCTCCCACATTGGACAAAAATGAATTGCCAGTGTCCCAGGAGGATACACCAGGGGCATGTACACATCTTGAACCACTTTGTTAATTTTGTGTGTTTACACTATATGTGTGCAATACCTCTATGGTCTGCTCATAAGTCCAATCCAGTTTCTTCTTGACTTTCTTCTCCAGGTAGCTGGTGGCCTCAGTCTGCTTGACTCCGGCTGCGGTGGCCTTAAAGCCGCAGTAGTATCCGGCTGGATCACACTTATACAGCTGAGGACCCAACTCTTCATCCAGACCCACAAAGATCATACCTGGAAAGGGATGGAGCGAAGAAAGGGATATACATATTTACCAAAGGGTTTTTGATAAATATTCTAAACAGCACTTTGAAAGAAACTCATAAACAGTGTAAGGGAAACTTCTGCAGCAATGGAGAGTCAGGACTCAGAGAGACACGAAGAGAGTTGGAGCTTTGATGTCAAACAGTATTAAACAGCCTTGTTCAATGTTTACACAAATATCTGTTTTTATAGATATAATATCTTGATTGTAGCTCTAGATATTTTGTGCTGAGTTTTAAAACCCTTTGACACTTTTTAAACTTGACTTATTACACTCCTTACAAAACAGATTCAGATCACTAAGTAACGCTAAATATGAACCAGTACAGCTCTCCTCACAAAGTAACACATTATTGAGAATAGAGATTTGGAAACTCATTAAGGTTATTTTTGTCAAACAATCCACACGAGACTCACAGCAGCCTAGGGGCCTCATCTCTGCGTTCTGTGTGTAGACTTGAGAGATGTCTGCCATGCGTTTGCACAACATGTCCACAGGGATCTCATAGCCGTACTTATACATCCAGTTAGCCGCTTCGTACCGAGCCCTCTGCACCTGAGACCTGCTGTCAGCTGGAGGGAGGAAGAGGCAGAAAAAAGGCATTTTTTAATGAATAATGTATCGATTTAATTGGAGAAATACGTCACCAAGTTTCTTCCCCGGCACACCTGTATGTATACATCATAGAGTCCTCAACTTTCTCCATTCAATTAATATCAATACGTTTTCTTTACATTACTATAACATTGTTTGTTATGCAAATGAAATGTAACTGGATGCACTTTACTACTGGTTGGATGCAAACTGCATTTCGTTGTACTCTGTGCAATGACAATAAAGTTTAATCTAATTATACACTTCTTTATGTTAACGGATCATAGGCGTAGTATGGTTGTCACTGACCCAATTAAATCACTTTCAATTACTGTTCAAAAGAAAACAGGTAGAAGAAATCGCATTATCCCGTGCAGGAGAAGTTATTTTAGTCAATTTTATTTTTCTGTTGAGGCTGATGTCCAATGAATTTGAGCTACGGAAAGAGAACAATCCACATTTGTCTATCTTTTTGCTACGTATGTTTTTTTTTTTTATTGTGAGCCTCTATTTTTCATGTTTTTAATGATTTGTTATTAGGGATAACATCTGTCCAGGAATTACAGATGAAAAAAAGCCTCTTAGCTAACTTACCATTTACATAAATGTCTATTATTGTGCACTGTAAAATAAAATTAATAAAATAAACTAATAAATAAAAGCAAATCATGTGTTTCTCTGGTCAGCTTTGGAATACTTTAGTTTTTTATTTTGCTAGCTACGACACTTTTGCAACTTTTATGTTATGTTCTGCTGCAGCTAGAGTTGTCAAATGACTGAAATAGCACACTCTATGTTTACTTATTTTTTGTTACGCATGCATTCAAGTGGACATTGCTTACCAGTCATGCCAGTCATAACACAGCCAATGTTCTCTGTAATTTTATACAGATGTGTGACCGTCATCGCATCCAATAGCTTGTCCTGAGAAAAACAAGACAAAGACATTGTAAACACAGAAAGGTACACAACATAGTAATGCAATGACCATCATTATTACAGATGTGGAATCTGACCAGATGCTTTGTAAAAAACACAGAAAAATAAACTTATGTGTGTGTCTGTGTATACTGACTGGAACTTTCTTTTGTGTGACAGCCACAACACAGTCCTTTCCTCTGATCGCTACGGAGGTCAGTCCTCCCTGGTTGATGGCTTTGAAGGCATACTCTGAAGATAGATGGAAGGGGAAAAACAGATTTAGTTACAGTAGTGCCCTTTTCACGACCTTTCTTTATTTCAGGGTTCAACCCAGGCCCGGACTGGCCATCGGGAGGACCGGGAGGTTTCCCAATGGCCAGAGTTGTGTGTAACGCGTTACAAAGTAACACGTTACTGTAATAATATTACTTTTGTCGGTAACGGAGTTGTGTAACGCGTTACTTTTATAATTCAGTAATCACACTACAGTTACTAACATTGCCCCGACACGCGTTACTTCGGTACTTTTATAAAATAATCACACTAACTGACAGACAAGAGGGGTTTCCGCCGCAGGTTTGTATACATGTAGGCCTACCTACGCGATTTGCGCGTCCACATCTCCACGTGCAGTGCTGCATAAACATAATAATAATAATAATAATAATACATTACATTTATAAAGCGCTTTTCCTGGTGCTCAAAGCGCTTAACATGGCTGAGTCTCTTCATCTGTAAACTTCCTCAACGGGGCCGCTCGCTCTCTTTTCTTGATTGCCCTCTCACGGGTGAACAGTTCAATGTCCCGCTTCATTGTAGGAATTCTGCCATGTCTCTACTACTTTAGTTTGACCATCTCTGTTCAGGGTTCTTACACCTTTTCCAAAGTCAAATTCAAGCACTTTTCAAGCATTTTCAAGGTGCATTTTCAAGCTTTTCAAGCATCTTACATACACGTACTTATAGTCAAATGATTATGTCCCTACCTCACATTAAATCAGATTATCTTTATGCTATAAACAACCAAATGTGTGTTTCGTGATAGCATTCTACATGAGGATGAAAAATTAAAGAAAATAAAACTAAGGTTAATATTTCAAAATGAGTGACCCATCTGTACGTACACTGGGCATCCCATATAACCTGGCGGAGCCGATATACAACAATCAGCCAAATAACTTTTCAATACATTATTGATTACTATTTTTTAGGTACTTTTAGGTTGGCAGTAAACACAAGTCAGAGGTAAATGGTGTACTTTTCCTCCACTATATGTATTGAATACCTTCAGTTACTTTACAGATGTGGATGAATGATGTGAAATATAATCAAGTGTTAAATCAGACTTTAGTTCCACCTGGAGTAAATTCACAAGCTACCCTGCAGTATACAAAGTCATTCAAACTAGCTGCACCTTTACCAGCTTTGAGAACACTTTAATGATCAATCATTATAAAACATATCATATATTATTATTCTGAAATGGACCAAACTGCACAATGACTACTTTTACTGTCGCTACTTTCACTATATGTTGATGATAATACTTTTCTACTTTTACTTGAACATTTTGAATGCAGGACTTTTACTGTAACAGAGTATCCCTACACTCTGGTACTTCTACTTTTACTCAAGTACAACATCTGAGTACTTCTACTTTTACTCAAGTACAAGATCTGAGTACTTCTACTTTCATTACAAGATCTGAGTACTTCTATTTTTACTCAAGTACAGTTTCTGAGTACTTATTCCACCTCTGGTAGCGTATTAGCCTGAATTGTAGCCACAAAATCACGCAGAGCTGCATAAAAATAGACTCACAATGGTAACAAGTGGAAAATAATATTTACAAATGTGTACAATGATTTGTAGGTAATTTTGACTACTCAAGACACCTGACTTATACATATTCAACAGGAAGACTGTGTTCATTCTGCTATTATCATGGGAATTAACAAACTAGCACCGCCATCAGGGTCAATTTTGACCCACAGCTGTTTTTTTTATTGTTTTGAACTTTTTTTCAATTAAATATAAAGTCTTCCAGTCCGTGACTTTTCTGAAGTCTGTTATGTAGTACCTCTGTTGTTAAAAAATTGTTCATATGAAATCAGATTGAAGAAATCGCACCAAAAAATTGGGCCATTTATAGACTATTCCGCCAGCGGGCCTCCTATTGCACACTTTTCACGCTTTGACTTTCGCGTGTAAACATAGGTGTAAACATCAAACATGACGGTTGCTATCAGCAACACCCTTTGTCTCCGTGTCTACTTGCGGTTCCTTTAAAATAAGAGGGATAGATTGAGAGAGAGGCAGAGAAGAGCGATAGAGCGATAGATAGATAGAGAGAGAGAGAGAGAGGAAGAGAGAGATATTGACTAGAGTATTGATAGCGACAGTCTGTAGTGGAAGGAGCGACGCTCCCGCTGACAGGGAGACTGCTCACCAGCTGCGCTCCGCAGCAAAAAGCTGTTTGCTTTCAGCCCAAAACGACAACCGCTCACGAAACACTAATGTTCGTAAGTGTTTAAT